TAAGGCGATCATTCCTACCAACTTTCAGTTCAATCGGCCCAGCAGAACTTGACTTTAAGTTTGAAATGTAAAATGTTAACGGTGACCTAAAAACATTTTGTATAGAGATGAATATATATGTACACAAGAATTGATGACACATTTGAAAAAGAACACAAGAAATGATGACACATTTGAAATGTACACAACAATCAATTTTCCTTTTAAAAAGGTACAATATAATCAATGGCACATGTGAAAGGTACACAAGAGTGTATGGTATTGATAATTGAATTAATGATTTACAAACCAGCAAGGCAATCCTTATTGATGTTGCCTGGAACCCGGAAGAAGTTAATATTCATGTAACTCTGAATTCTATTACAGAATTGTAATCAAGAGAGAATTCCATAAAAACCGAGCATTTCCAGATTTACCTTAACAATTATGCAGAAGCATTAAAAAAACATCTATTTGTAAAACGTTGCTTTTAGCATAAACTCTCTGTTCAGGGTTTTTTAACAATACTCAACTTATTAATATTTTAATCAAATTGATTCCTGTGTCCAGATGACAAGCGTATTTGTCACGGTACCGGTGACACAGTGAAGGACACGAGTGATCAATGTGTCCCATCATCACACACCGATATAGATTTCCTCTCATCATATCCTGTCAGCACTGCGTTACTATATTACAATTAATCTGGTATCAACCCATTTACCTGCAATATTTCAGGTATAACAGATGAGAACAGCTCTTGTGTGATTTCATTGACATTCTCCACATGTTCTTGTTTATGATTTTATAGGTAAATAATGCACCAGCAAAGTTCTGTCGAGATAGTATCTTATCTGCTTTGGATATTTCAAAATAATGACAAATTATTCTACTAGGTTTATCGTTTGTGAGTAAACACCTTCAAAATATGTATCCAGAACATTCCTTTTTTTAATTTGGAATTAAGATAATTGGCAGAAAATAATTAACTCTATACTAATTTATAAAGTAAGAATTACCGCTGATAAAAGAAAATGATTTAGAAATAGCAAAGTATGAAAAGCAAGCTTCTCTGTCATTTAGTCTGATCAATTAAGGTACGACTGTATTGATAAGTAAAGTTTTACCACTCCAAATGATTACGTACACCAAATTGTTCCTCAAAAAACACATGTTGTTTCAATATGTGGTTATTTTAATGGTCAGCAGTGTGTTATTTACCGGGCCTGTCCTAGTTAACGCATAATCAGCCGTACCCAGTGATCGTTTAGTAGCTGAGTGATTTACTCAATGGCTAGAATTAATCACCGCCATTTCTAGGCAGCACTGACAATCTGACTTCAGTGTTTGCTCAAGTCATACTGGGCCGTAATGAGAAAATTCCTGGACTTAAAAAGGTCATGTGTCCTCCCAAATCAGTTGGTAAATGACGAGGCCTTTAAAAGGGCCTGGATAATAACAACTGTAGCAGGTGGAATTATAGCCACAGCTTCCCTGTACAATTTAATTCCAACCAGTTACCAACAGTGAAACATTGCCTAGGAATGACAGACAAGATCTCGGTGACTCTCAACACATCTGCTTTAGGATGTTAGCAAACACTGCTTTAAAAAACATGTTACTCTTCTTTGCAAACAAAATCTGTCTATGTACTGTCTTTGATCAAATACATCATTTCTTTTCCTACATCTCCCTTTAAGAAAATATAAAATATCACTCCCTGTAAGTATTTCAAGCTTCGTTTCTTTATGTGTTTAACATTAACTTGAATTCTTAACCCCAAGAGTTCTCCATGCTTAGTTTTATTACTAGCCAGTGAAACTGACGGTGTCTCAGATGTGGCCATTATCTGTGAAATCAAAAGAAAGGACAAAACAGCTACAGAAGGTCGAGAATCTACAGTGGCCAATAAAAATAAACATTGAAAACAACAGCCATATTCTACAATACTGCCAGTGACAGTGACAAGTCCAGAGGGACCTTCAGTCCTGACATGGATACGGGCTAATATCTCTGCGTAGGAACACTGGAAACTTCCAGCTAAGATTTACACACAGCACTATCAAGTGTGATTCCATTCATACACTACTCACTGAACTTATCTATTGGACTATCTAGCTTATTCCCATTCTTACATTACTCACAGAACTTATATATTGGACTATCTAGCTTATTTCCATTCTTACATTACTCACTGAACTTATCTATTGGACTATCTAGCTTATTCCCATTCTTACATTACTCACTGAACATATCTATTGGACTACCTAGCTTATTTCCATTCATACATTACTCACTGAACTTATCAATTGGACTATCTAGCTTATTTCCATTCATACATTACTCACTGAACTTACCTATTGGACTTATCTAGCTTATTTCCATTCTTACATTACTCACTGAACTTATCTATTGGACTATCTAGCTTATTCCCATTCTTACATTAGTCACTGAACTTATCTATTGGACTATCTAGCTTATTCCCATTCTTACATTAGTCACTGAACTTATCTATTGGACTATCTAGCTTATTCCCATTCATACATTACTCACTGAACTTATCTATTGGACTAACTAGCTTATTTCCATTCTTACATTATTCATTGAACTTATCTATTGGACTATCAAGCTTATTTCCATTCTTACGTTACTCACAGAACTTATATATTGGACTATCTAGCTTATTCCCATTCTTACATTACTCACTGAACTTATCTATTGGACTATCTAACTTATTCCCATTCATACATTACACACTGAACTTATCTATTGGACTATCTAGCTTATTTCCATTCTTACGTTACTCACAGAACTTATCTATTGGACTATCTAGCTTATTCCCATTCATACATTACTCACTGAACTTATCTATTGGACTATCTAGCTTATTCCCATTCTTACATTACTCACTGAACTTATCTATTGGACTTATCTAGCTTATTTCCATTCTTACATTATTCATTGAACTTATCTATTGGACTATCTAGCTTATTTACATTCTTACATTACTCACTGAACTTATCTATTGGACTATCTAGCTTATTAATATAAGCTTTTTTCAAGACTGACTCTGTATGCAGGGATAGCTAATTTGAAGACTGACTCTGTATGAAGTGAAATCTTATTTCCAGATTAATTCTGTATGAAGTGAAATCTTATTTCAAGACTGACTCTGAATGAAGTTAAAGCTTATTTCCAGACTGACTCTGTATGAAGTGAAATCTTATTTCCAGATTGACTCTACATCTGTATGAAGTGAAATCTTATTTCCAGATTGACTCTAGATCTGTATGAAGTGAAAGCTTATTTCCAGATTGACTCTAGATCTGTATGAAGTGAAAGCTTATTTCCAGATTGACTCTAGATCTGAATGAAGTGAAAGCTTATTTCCTGACTGACTTTGTATGAAGTGAAAGCTTATTTCCAGACTGACTTTGTATGTAGGCAAATATTACTTTTTTTTTGAAGTTTGGAAGCAAAACATTTGTATTCTATGATGGAATGTTATGTGTGCATACTTTCTGTATGTCCTTGTTTGCACATTATACAACATTGCATGTTTACTAAATTCCCAGGGGACAGTTGTGTTAGCATGTTAACAAATAGCACTTCATCAACTTTTTTAAAAATTCCGTTTTAATACACACACTTTTCTCAGTTTTATCATCCAGTTTTACGAAAAAAATTCAAAACTTATGTTATGGTTTCTGTGTGTGTTCTTAACACTCGATGACCAATTGTAACTGGAATGCTTTTCACTCACTGTTCACCATAAATTATCTACTTTCTGTACACGATCAACAGCCTGTTCACCATCAATAATCTACTTTCTGTACACAATCAACAGCCTGTTCAACATCAATTATCTACTTTCTGTACACGATCAACAGCCTGTTCACCATAAATTATCTACTTTCTGTACCCAATCAACAGCCTGTTCAACATCAATAATCTACTTTCTGTACCCAATCAACAGCCTGTTCAACATCAATAATCTACTTTCTGTACACAATCAACAGCATGTTCAACATCAATTATCTACTTTCTGTCCACAATCAACAGCCTGTTCACCTTAAATTATCTACTTTCTGCACACAATCAACAGCCTGTTCAACATCAATAATCTACTTTCTGTACCCAATCAACAGCCTGTTCAACATCAATTATCTACTTTCTGTACACGATCAACAGCCTGCACATGTTCACCATCACTACTTCCTGTTCACAATTTGAGATCTACTTCCTGTACACAATTCACAAATCGTTTTAAAACTTTATTACATGTAAAAGTATTACAACTTTATCACATGTAATAGTATTACAAATATATCACATGTCAACAGCCTGTTCAACATCAATATGTAATAGTATTACAACTTTATCACATGTAATAGTATTACAACTATATCACATGTAAAAGTATTACAACTATATCACATGTAATAGTATTACAACTTTATCACATGTAATAGTATTACAACTATATCACATGTAAAAGTATTACAACTATATCACATGTAATAGTATTACAACTATATCACATGTAAAAGTATTACAACTATATCACATGTAATAGTATTACAACTATATTACATGTGATAGTATTACAACTATATCACATGTAATAGTAATACAACATTATCACATGTAATACTATTACAACTATATCACATGTAATAGTATTACAACAATAGCACATGTAATAGAATTACAACTTTATCACATGAAATACGTATACATTTATACATGTACATTAGGTAGTAATATCATCATTTTCCCAGTAATTAAGTATTACCAACATATCTGACATAACATTATCTTCAATAGTCCCTGAACATTATTTCCAACTCCCATGTCACCATATATATATACTGCAACCATTAGCATGATGACGTTTTAACTCAAACCGTTCTGTAACAATTGTAGGGATGTACCTGTTAATCATTAAGGTAGAGTAAGCTTGAGTAATGATTTCATGTGTTAAGTAAGTTAATTAATGATATCTTCATTATTTACCCTACCTGACAGCCACAGTCTTCCTGGTGACTTCCCTCCTGTGTTTCGTCCAGTAGAGGACTCTCATAAACTACGCTGTCCTCAGTAACCATGCTGTCCCCCCGATAAAGGCCTCTAAGACCTAAATCCTCCTCCCCCTTTGTCTCCGTAATATCCTCTCCACTTTCCTCCACAATTTCATCGCACAGATTTGGATTGATGATAATATCCTTAGATTGTGTAACACTACTTATTTTTTCCAGATCTGATGACTGAACACTTCCTGTGTACTCTTCAAGAACGGATGACTCATCATTTTCTGCTTCCTCTGATGAAATTTTAGCTCTCCGTAAAGTTTCCTCAACAATAGGTGTAATCTTACTTTGTTCGTTACTTTTTAATTTGATAGGCATTGCAGCATTTCCTACGGTTTTCTGTCGTGCCTGGTCAAATCCATTTTGAATGACCTTTGACCATGAGGGACGCGTGTAAGCGCCCTCTGCTGGAGTGTGCCATCGTTCCATTTCTGTATTGTCCCCTTGGTAGTCAATAACCTTGTGGTTTCTCCGTGGATCCTCTCCATTGCTCATAAAACTGAAATTTGTTAACTTGTCGAGAAGGCCGCCCATGGTTTTAAACAAAGCCTCTAACCCAACACAGTATTTTTAATGTCAGTCGATTCTAAATCAATCATTTACAGACCAATATAGCTATGAAGATGTTCGCATCAATATCATGTCTCCGACAGCCCATTCATCGAAAACCTGTCTATTTGAAATGAATTTAAATTCTATTGGGTTATTTTAACTCCAATTTTATTGACATCCCGACATAATTGTTTGTAGAGTCAGTGTTTTACGAATGGCCATCAATTACCTCATTTTGCGTTGTAGATTACCGGCTCCTATTATCAACATACCATCAAGAGTAGTCAATCAGCAACCAAGCGACAATTCCCCACCTACCAAACGCAATGATCTGGCTATGAATATTGTGTTTTGGTCAACAGAACATCCTATTTGTAATAGATGAGAACTTTGTGATAAAACGCGTCCTCAGAAATATGAATCAAAACTTGTTGACAGATTCACAGTATCCCGTGTTATTTGCTGAAGGACAAAAGGCTTTTATAGTGTCAAAACTGGCCTTTTAGAAAATGTCACAATTCAAAATGGTTTCAAGCATCGTTTTGTCCATGAAAGTCTGTTTATATATATCGAACACTGAAAATTGTACATGATGTTGTCAATGACAGTCTTAGAAGTTCACCGACACGGATTTCACACGAAAACATGCCAATCATGTCCAGTACAGTTTTTGTTTATAAATTATTTTCTCTAATGTCACAAACACAAACTGAATGACCTGCACTGTAACAGACCCACACCGAGGCAAATCTCGTTATTACGAACCATAGGATCAGGCTTATATCCAGGTAACATGTGGGAAAATTTGTTACATAAATACGCTGTCTCGCAGCTGGTGGCTATACTGATGTTACCAATATCAACACTTCCGAGATCATCCACTAAGTGGTTACCATGTAACGATGCAGTTTCCTCGGTCACAATTTTAGTTGATTCTTATTTCACAACATAATGATATTGTTACGTATGAATCCATGAAATTCCAATGAAAATTTGAATTCACAATGTTTCGATCTGAATGTAGCCGCAAGTTGTAATTCTTAATTTTCCTCTTTGATTCGTTTAAATTTCCTGAAACCATTTCTCCAAAAGATGATATCAAAGAATATCTTGAAATCCAAGATGTTGAATCAAATGTTAGACGATGTGGTATCCTTTTTCTCAAATAATTTCCTATTCAATACTCTCCAATAAAATTTCTTGTGATGTAGATGGGCTAATTTCCAGTTGAGTGCTTTTAGAAAGCATCTATTCCCTATCTACTCATGACCATACCTGCAGAGTCACATAACCAAGATTGTTTTTCACATGGTTTTTGTATGTCATTTCTAATAAATAAAAAAATAGCCCCTTCAAACAAACTTGGTCACATTGTTGTCATATGACCTTGTCTTTCACCACATGACCTTGTTCTTGGATTGCTAATTTAAGCCACTTTCTAAATGATGAAATGTATCACTGTTTAAATGAAAATTGATGTACATTGCCAGCAGACTCTCAAGGCTATAGTGACTGAAATCCTTCCATTCAAATCACTCACTGAAATGGCGCTACCTTGATTTTCCTTTATAAAAAATTGACGTTTACAACATAGATGGATATGTTTGCAACATTGCAAGTGGAATCCACTCAAATCTCCGGAAAACAGCATCGGAGAATCTCTATTGTCAGGTACTTGAAATCTTTCGCAAATATGTTTTTGAGAAAATGTCTTTTTAACAGGCTTAAATCTTTTTAAAAAGAGCTTTCTCGATCTTCCCAAAGGAAGACTGATTTCCAGATTTAATGTATATACAATGTATATATATACTCTTTCACATCATCGTTCTGTAAAAGGTATGCATGCATTTCACACAATGTAATCTACGAGTGTTTTATTTCTAGAAGTCTGGTGTAGACTTAAATCTAGTTCCACCATTGTCACACCAGTCTGCTTCGCTCCACGGACCGTTTTCTCACAGACAAAGTGGCCAGTAATGCTTTGTTGTATATCCGGAATGTACATTTAACTACATCAATTCCAACATAGAGGTGCCCATCTCTACGGAGTGAACTCCAGTCTTTTTCTGCTTGAACATCTAATCACACAAATCCTTACTAAGTGTGTTGTTTTTGTCATACACACAATTTCCTCCATGAAAAATCCATTTTTAAAATATCTAGATTCACATTTAATATAAATCAAGTATCAAAATAACTTATTCCCCATAGTTCTCACTGGGTTTTTAACTTTAAGAAAAGACGATATTTTCAATATTAGAAAAGATTTGAATTTCTCTTTCAACATGTAAACTTTTTGTACAGATCCCGTTTTAGTGAATCATTCGGCCTCGGACCCTAGCTGCGTGGGTTGATGGCAGTGGTGATGATGAAGGGAATACTCGAGATTAAATCTTACAATTATTATATATATGTTTGTCATCCACTACCTGGTAACAGCTGGCACAACAGCTGGTTCTGACATTATCCCCTAGATATACATATGTAGACTTAGATACACACATTTACATAAAGCTTATTTTGCAGTTAAAAAAAAAAATCTATAAAAACTTGCAAGAAATATTTTATACAAAGTAGTTATTAATCCAATTGAAACAGATACGATTGTTCTCATATATTTCTTAAAATATTTCTTTTTACCTGTATTAATGATCAAAATATTTTACTTCCTTTTCCAAAATATTTTCAGACTTTTAGTAATTGACCTTTTTACAATTTTCGCACTAACCAAATAATTCAATGAATGTTGATGTAAGTTTAAAAGGTTACATTTAATCAATTAGAACTTTCAATAACACAAAGAAAAGACACATATTATTCTAAAATATATTGTTACATTGATTTTGATTTCATGTTTTCTTGCAGATTTTTTTTTCATTATTTCCCAGCTAAAACTTGCTTTCATATATAATTACGGGGAAAACAAAGAGAGAAAAAAATTGTAATAAATTGATCTGATTTGCATACAATAGAAACCCTTTGTTTTTATTTGTCAAACTTTACTAATGTTTAGCATATAAATAGAAAACTCTCATCAATTATTCCAAGAATGTTAACTATGCCATATAATTGGAGGCATGTGAATAATAAACTACTCTCACATTTTGCGATATGAGCCTGATAATGACTTGATAATGGTAAAGGTCATCTCTATTTCATTCCCCTGACATCATCGTCCAATAAAATCCACCATTCCAATACTAACAGGGACACAATTTCATCAGCTGTTCGGACTTGTTTCAGCCAGCAATATACGACAGTGATCGCCCAATCTTACCAAATGTCATTCAATGCTTTCGCGTCTAATTTTGTCAAACAAAACTCTGATATATAAAAATGTCATTTATATATTCTTAAGATACAAAAATACATATTTCCCTGCGTTTAAAAAAAAAAAAAAAAAAAAATCTGTAAGCTTTATGGCTTTTTAAATTTGAATTTACATATAATGACTTAAGTTAAAGTTTGTCAAATTATCTTTTTTGAACAGTGCTTGAAGATCTATGTAATTATTAAGAAATTAACGCAGTCTTTAAACTGAAATATTTTACTCATAATTACAACTGTTTTCCTCCTACGTGTAAGATAAATAAAAGAATATATTTGTGTCCTGAACTGAAATTGATTACTTACGAAACACTTTCGAAACACCAAATGCAATGTAGAATTTGGGACTTAGTTTGATTTGATGTTAAATTCCATACTAAACTAAACAATACAGACTAAAACATACAAATGACCCCCACAGCCTATTAAAACCGGAGCTGCTAACTAAATCTAGCTAACGACCTTGTACGTATAAGATCATTGATTCTTGTCGGATTCCTTGCTAGCAGGGCAGGTTAAAAAGGTCAGCGATATATCTTACAAGACAGTCACTTTGTCTCCATAACATCAATATGTCGGGGTGTTAAAAAACATGTCCGCATTCATGTCATAGATCACTTTCATGCCTCCATTGTAAAAGAGTTCATACATCAGTTGGAGTCCATCACAATTGATCTTCAATCTATTGAGTAGATAGTTGAGTGAAAACTTCTTGTAGATTCTTGGAAAATGTACGTGATGTATGATAAGAATTATAGCATTGACGAATCCTCCGACATTGATATGTGGCGTTCAGCTCATATCTCCTTGGATTAACTTCTAATACATTTCAATACCACCGATTGAGATTCTTTCCACTTTCTGTAACCTTCTTATAATATATAAGTCTTTGTGTCTAGCACAATACTAACACTTTCCTTGTAACTGAGGCAAGGTTTTATCAACAACTTATAATGCCGTCAGCACTTTTATTGTTCAAGCAAGTCATCTGCGATATTTCAAGAGAATTATTAAAAACGTATTATATAGGATGGTTCGAAGATCTCCCAGCACAGATATATTAATATTTTCCCCTTGAGGCAATTTTCCTGGATCTTTGCTGTCTGTTCAGTTGAAGCAAGTGTTGCATGTCTTCGGAGTAATTCAAATCTTTTCTGACTGTTGATTTTCAAAATGTACGAAAAATATGTATTTAATCCTCCAACAGGGACATTATCCACTTGGATTTTGTCAACAGTTCCGGTGATATATATCCCTGTGTCTATATTCTGCTTCTGAAAGTAAACCCTCCAGAAAATACTGGAGCACAATGAACATCAGGATATCCGACAGATAAAAACCTTCTTGGCTACTCCTGGTATTTATTCCTAACATGCCCGCTGCGAGCGCCTGGATATTTAAGTGGTGTAGGGTCCCCATTCTTCATTACCTCATATGTATACATAATTACTGACAATTTACATGCACAGCAAAGGACTGATATTTCCGGTTGATCCTGCAGGCTTTCCTATAAGCCTATTGGATTGGCCACACTCTATTTCAATAGCTATTTAAATCTGTCTGTACATACAGAAAATGTACAGCCAAAGCATAGTCCAGGGTTCGGGAACATATACATGTAATTATACGCATACAGTATCCCGCAGAAAATACAGTTATTGACAAATTGTCCGTCAATGTTTAAAATAATTCATCGTCAATATTTCAGAGCCTAGGCTATAGGCTTCAACACATATTTGGACAATGCCTGGTTTCCGAGCATTGTTGATCGACGAGAGCCAATGTCCACACAGAAATCGAAGTCATTGGAAACATTTGCCAGAAGGTATGACACAGATGCCCCGGAGACTTGGGGACTTGGATAATGAGAACCAAATTTGTTGCACCAGCACGTTGACGGACGACAGACTGACATGAACCTTTCAAATTGTGACGGATTGCTACTAAATTTTACACAATCCAGGTCTTTATCATGGTTTATAGAATTCTTATCATGTGACAGAAATCATTTATATTGTTCATCATTTGTAGATAATGATGTGCTCACTCAATTTTAAATTGAATTTTTTCAAAAGATACATCCAAAAGTGTGGGGGGGTTTTGTGGATTTTACATAAGTGAGGATCATTTGATTTATAATGCATATTCTTTATTTAAATTTTCAGTTTTAAACAAATATTATCAAATTTATTTTTTTACGATAATGAAGTTACATATATATATATATATATATTTCTTAACATGTGACAGAATGGCCATAACAATAATTGCCTGAAGAGCCCTGTGAAGGGTGAAAGCAGCTAGTTTTTTAGTCGATTGTTAATCTTATTTTTTCTATATATATATTTATATATATATGGCAGTCCCACTCTGTGTGTTTCTCCAAGTATCCTTGAGAACTTCTGGAAAAGTAGCTGTAGCAAACTAGAAAAGCAAAATTAAAGATGGCAATTATTGTTATGGCCATTTTGTTTTTCTGATCCATCTGAAATTTTAAGCTTAGACAATTAAGGACAAATGGGATTGAGGAAATAAATTTTCATCAAGATCCCTGGTAATACTACCTAGGAAATAGCGGTAGCAGACTTTATCTGAAAAATCGTTAAAACCACCAAGATGGCCTAGAAGCTATCTTGTTTTTTTCCCGAATCAGCCTAATTCTAAGTAGACACAACTAATACAGAAATTGACTTGAGAAAAATAAACTACTGTAAAACAATAATGCTTTCATTATCATCTTGATGAAACAGGTAATGTATTAAAGTTTTATAGCTGTCTGTGTTTCTTTTATTTCATTAAATTGTTTTCTTCTTTTACTCGACAAATAATTACATTTCAAGTAACATACAGAGTATATATGCTGCCATTATTTATTTTTGTATTACATATTCTTACGATGGACGACCTTTTTTAAAGCTTCGAACCAAGGCTAAGGAAAACTGATATTACTTGTCGTGTATCGTGTAACGAGCGTATGTCTAGACTGGCCATTTTTTCCTGAAATTTTTCAAATGACTGAGCATCATTTCTCGGGGCTGATATTGAATCGGTGTAAACCTTCCCCTTTTACTCAAGCTGTTCCAGCTTCCTCTTATTAGATAATCTCAGAAGAAAGGTGATATATTGATGTAAAACAAACCCAGACATTGAGAACTGTAGAGCTTCTGTAGTTTCATCCCACAAAAATTTAAGGTAACAAATAAAAAATAAAACAATAAAAATTGTCAGACCGATAGATGCTCCCCAAAACATGGGTGGATTAACGAGTGGTTAACACTCCGGCCTTCCTTGTAAGCAGTCGGCTGGGGTTTGATACATGAAGTCGTTGTACGTATTGAATATTCAAAGAAAGTGTTTTTCTCCTGCCCGCACAACTCCAACAACCCAGATGGAGTATAAAATGGTCTGGGGTGGATGTTGCGGTATCTTTGCTGTAGCATTCAACTGTGGAGGCACTATAAATGATA